AATAAATTTTTCACACGCTCCTTACTAATAAATGATCAAAAGGAATCTTACGCGATGATTACAACCAACTTGAAAGGGTATTCCTTCATTTCTTTATTTGGCATCATTTGTCTTAACGTTTTTGATTTATTTTTTAATTGTTGTTATCCTTAATTGTTTGTTAATAAAAAAATATTAATGGTAAAAAAAAAAAAAAATTAACATTATTAATTGTGATTCCATAATCCATAATCTATCTGTGTTATAAATGTTTGACCATCACGATACATAATAGGAAAGTGAGAAACTTAGCATAATGAAAACGCGTGATTCCCATTGTAGTCTAACAAGGTCGATTTCCTTTTTTTTTTGTTCAATCACACTCCCTTTTCACGTTTATCCATTGTAAATTTATTTTATTTCCCATGTAAAGGATTTGCCGATTTCCACTAAAGAAAGGGAAATAAAAAATTTATTATTTATTATTATTAATTTTTTTTTTTTATTTTATTCAAACCTAGGGTCCCATTTCTTAAAAAAGGCTAACAAAAGGACTACGGAAAAATTTTAAAAAAAATCCTGTTAATATTTATTTACTTACGCCTATTTTTTTTTTTTTGTTTTCATGATAAACTCGGACAATCACTTCCGAGGTTCCGACCGAAATTCGAAAGTTCTTTTATTCGAATGATGTTTTTACCCTGCGATGCAACGGCAGAGAGTTCTATGATTACCATAAATAACATGTACATACGGATCATTTTATTTTTATCTAATTAAATGAAGAAAAAAAAATATTTATCATCAATAATAGATAAATCCGGCCCATGTTTTCTGCAAATCCGACATTTCCGTGCATCGCCATTACCAATATGGAATTGTTTAAATGAAGTGAATGAAGGATCGGCCGTTGGCGGCTATGATTTCATTTATTGATTCCTTTCATATTGATTGTATAACTAGCCACCATAAGATAAACAAGTTTTTTTTATTTTTTTTTTGTTCTGTGATTTCTTTTTACCTTATTACGATTTAAACAAGTTTATTTTATTTTTTTCTTTTTAGCTTCCTTGGTACCTACGGCGAATTTTCTGCCGTTTTTTGATAATAAAATATAAAAGAGGGTTAAAAATAAATAATAAAAATAAAAATAATAAACATAGCCGCAGCGACCATAACAAAGATTTACATTTTTTAAAATTAGATTTAAGAATGGAGCTTGTGGGCTACACCATTTCCTTAAATGGGTCGCAGTTTTAAGAATTCGATTTTCCGATTAAATATTTAAGCGTAAATTGTGTAATAATTAATTGTAATACGGGTTATTAATTAACGCAGCAATATTTTTATTTTCGCTTAACAATTTGTTTTAGAGGTGTTTTTCTGAAACAAGTTTTGAACGGTTAATTCACACCAAATAGATTACTAATATGAAATGATTGGATCATACATTAAAGTAAATGAATTATCAGATGATTATTTAATTATAGATGTTCGGGGGATTTGACGAACGAATGACCGGCAAACGTTATTCTTAGTTAGCTAGGTTTTTGATAAACCCATGAAATGAAAAAAAAAAAATAGAAAATATAATGATTAATATAAAAAAAAAAAATACGATACACCAGATAACACAGAGAATCTAAATCTTGACATGTGATATTATGAAAATTTTATTCCAGTTTTTACTCGTTTTTTTTTTTTTTTTTTTACAGATCATCAAAGTGATCATATAACTCCCAAAATTTTTTTTTTATGTTCACATTCAAATATCCATATTCTTTATTTACACTTTGGTTTCAAAAAAATCAAAATATTTACTTTATGAAACTTTACATATTATTAATAATAAACAGGATTAAGATATAAATCCTGATATTTCCTTTTTATTTCTTTGTTCATTCATTCACAACATCTTTTTAATAATACTAAAAATAAAAACTTATATATTTTTTTTACCTTTTCCTCTTCCTTGTTTCCCTTTTATAGAATGCGGAAGAATCGATAAAAAAAAAATGTCATCTGACCTATAGATTCAGCTATCAGCTCGAGATATTGATTATTCTACAACCTGTTCATGGCTGGTTATGTAGAAAGATAACGAGTTATCTCGACTTTGGCGGATCGTTGAAAAGATTTCATTAAAAAAAAAAAAAAAAAAAAAAAGGTTTTCGCTTGCGTGTGTACATTCTATTTTTGGATTTTTTTTTTTTAAAAAAAATAAAATAAAATAAAGAAGCCATTTTTATTCTTTCACGGGATTTTTTTTTCGGCCGTCCAACGTATGCAACATTTTGTCATAACGATTTCCATGAACTTTTCGTCCATCGTCAAAGTTATCTTTTTATTAATCATAGAATTTTCCCGTGAGAGGAATTTCAGCATTTAATAATGAACAAGAAATTATTGAGACACATGGTCACACGAATATATGCGATTTATATGATTTATATGAAAATGTTCATCTCTTTTTTTATTATTATTATTCGCCTAACGATTGTCGGAATATATTTTTTCACAAATGAAAATCCGCAGAAAAGATGCGCAAATGTTATTTTCCCGCTGGGCAACTCTGATAAATCTGATAAACCGATACGATACCGTCGAGAATATGACATCTTGTGGCTTGACTAAAAAACGCCCACTTGATGCGTTGTACCGTTTTTATACCTTTCGACCGATCCAAAAACTTCTTGTCCCACAACGGTAGGATCGTTTATAGGGAATTGGGATCGCCATAATTCTCATAGTCTCGAGCCTTAAAGAGGAAGTTCGTTCAAGTAGTTTAAAATCACAAACCAACATTATATTATAATACCGTACACAATGGTATTTGCCTCTCCCATTATTTCCCGGTTTAGAAAGAGGAGCCACTTTATCAGGCGTTATCGTTCATGACAACAATACCATCCTTTTTATGACCTATTTCTAAATATTTATGTCATTTCAGATATCACGAAATTGTTAAAATTGCTTTTTTATTTTACCCCACACTTTTACATCAGACAATATTTGTACAACAAAAGCAAAAAGCAAAACGAAATAACGAGGAGTAAATGGATTAATTAAAATTTCACAATAACCGAGTTTAGTTAAATTTCGGTTGAATGGTTCGCCTTTTCTTTTTAAAAATTTAAATAATGTATCCTGCTACAAAAAAAGATCACGAGGCAATTGTTGCTTTTTCACATTTTTTTCCCTCCCCCTCCCCTTTAAAAAAATAAATATCTTGAAATTTTATTTATGATGTTGTCCACGCTTTTTTTCCTCCATGGTCAGTGCGTTAGTTTGAAATGAAACTCCTTTTTTATTATTATTTATTTATTTGCCTTGCTTACGTACGAAAATAATAATTTTTGTTTTCACATGACATAACATGATTGAAGTTTTTTATTCTAAAACCTGGATGATTTTTTGAATTTCAGGGGATTTTTTTTTTTTTATGAGAAAAATCTACTTTTGAAATGCGCATACTATTTTTGGACGTTCCATCTTCCATCTTGACCTTATTAATTAGATGTATAAATAAATAGAAAATGGAAATCTTTAAGCGATGAAAAGCAGGCTTTGCCGATTTGTTTTATAGGGGAAAAAGGGATATCTGATAAGAACCAACGTCAAGGATTAAGTGACATTTGATAATGATCCAAATGAAAAAGTTTAATTTTAAGGTTTTAGGAAATTGCGATGATGTACGTATTTTTTGTAACGCCTATAGTTTAGTTTCACTTGTATAAATTCCCGAGTTGGGCAATGCGAGGGGTTTTAACCGGTTTTTTTACTATGAAGGAAATCAGGAAGGGAAGGTAAAAAGGCGTAGAAACGCCGGAATTGAGAATGAATAAATTTATCACATTCTAATCTCCAAAATGTTTATCATTGACATTTATTTAATTTATGTGTGGCAACTTGACTCCAAACAGGATCATCACTTGTTCTCGGACTCGTTTAAGAAATTAAATATTATCATATTCTTAATTTTAATTCCCCTTGTGATTGTCTATATATATATATTTTTTTTTTTTTAAGTAATGATAATATAAATAAAACTCCTTTGTATCATATTTATTCATTATATCCAAAAATAACCTTTCCAAAAAGGAATATCATTCGCAAATCGGTTAAACATATTATCGTCTATCACATTATCTTGGAAAAAGAAAAAATTTTTTTTTTCTACGCCACCACGCGTCCGAGAAAAGAATATTCCCCTTTACGATCGGGATTGACAAAAAAAAAAATTTTTTTTCTTTTCTTTTTTTTTTAATACGTTGGGATGATTTGTTGGAAAATTAAACATTGTATTAACGATCCTAGGTGAACAAAACATATTATGCGCATGATAAAACGTGGTTTTGATTCAATCATAGGCATTATTTCAATTTAATATTGTCTCAAAAATCGAAATTTTAAATGAAATGCACAAGAGAAAATCAATTGTCAATTATAGTTCATGCACAGTGAGAGATAAACAAACATTCCGTAGTTTGCCGTAAATTCTTCCTCAAAGGAGAAATAAAGTTATTTTCCAGATTATCGAAATGGGAAAAAAAATTATGTATAATTCATATTATTAATGATTTTCAAACTTTTTTACGAGATTTGGTAATTTTAAAAAGAAGGGTTGCCCCGAGATGTGAATTTCATTGAAGGGATATACCCACTCACAGAGAATGATCCTTCTTTAATGTTAAGGTAACACCCCCAACCAGAACGTCCCGCCTTCGAAAAAACTTTTCAGTAAAATGAATGTAATGCGCGAACAGGTTTTACGCATTTCTCTAATAACATGCATGCATCATCATCATCATATATGGATCCTTATGTATGCCCATTACTAATTAGCTTTTCTTGTGTGTGAGAAGAATTACTTGATTCGCGTTTTGGAATAAAGATTTTTTTATTTTATTTTTTATAACGTCATTACGCTAAAGTTGCTTTTTTTTTCACCCCAAGGCTTTTTTCAACATCTCTTACCCCTTGATATCTTGATTTTTTTTTTTTTCTTTTGGTCTGTCGAGATGGGTTGGGCTTGTAACACCGAAAATTATAAACTCAGTAAGATTCATTCGTATGAATCATCAAACTCAAAATCAACCTCCGATTTATGCAGCTTTTTATTCCTCGGTGATACATCTGCATCACTGCATTCCGTATATTCGATGCACATATTCCATTATTTTTATTAATGAACACAAAAAAATATGATTATTCTATGTAAACCCTTTAATATATGCAAATTAAGGGCACGGTTAAAAGATTAAGTGTACTTGTGAATGAGCTCTTTTACATATAAATGTTCAAATGTTCGTTCTTTTATTTTCCTAAGCTAGAAAATAGGTAATAAATAGGTGATAGGCATAGGAATAGGAATAGTGGGAAATAGAATAAATCCCATTTTAGAAAATTAGATTTTAAAAAGTTTGGGAGAAATTCCGCGCACATAAGACCTAGGTTGAATTAGCCATGATTGCATAGAGATTTTTTCATTCAAGTTTTAAAAAAGGTTCCAATATCGGGTTTGCTTCCGCTCCGAACTTTTTAAATTTACCGTAATCGTGTTCATTCATTCATTCATTTCTCTCCCTTCAAGACCTTGTTCTTTTTTTTTTGTTGTTGTTCTTGTTGTTCATGTTGTTCATGTAGTCGTTGTTTTCATGGTTGGGATTGGATGAAAATCAACGGCCGAATGAGGCATGAGTATCCAAGTGCGTACAATCATCTCAAAAATAATCGGCAATTCATTCTTTGATAAGAACGCTAAACTTTATTGAACTCAATGATGGACAATAGCCGAAGTTCTCTCACAACGAAATTCGAAAAAAAACAAGGTTTTCAAACAAATCGGCACCTTCGGACAATCGTTTCCACATTTAGGCATCAAAGATTTCTATTTTTCTATTTTACCGCTTCTTTGAATAATTGTATTTGAAAATCCATGACTTTTATGAAAAAAAAATAAAAAGTTCAAATAAAGAATCGAGAAATAAAATCGCGAATAGCAATAATATGAAAGGTAAGTTATGTAAATCTTCACTAAATTTATAAAGAATGCAAAAATTTTATTACAAACAATCTTTAAGAAAACAAGATTTCGCCTCGACCAATGACACTCCCGGCATGTACAAAGGGTTTTTTTTTTAAAATTGAATGATCCTTGCCTATTTAGGGAGGGCCCTCTGAATGAAAACTTATTCATATAATAAGGGGGGGGGGGGGGGAGAAAAAAAAAGGATTTCTCCATTGTTCCTTAATTTGATAGGTTATCACGTATATATATATTGTTTAGGTTTAGGAAAATAAGTTTTTTTTTTTTATTGCTGCTGTCACGCCTTATTTGTTTATTTGTTAGTCAAAAAGATGGGATGGAAAAAGAGTTGGGTGCTGCGGTTCGAATATTTATGTGGGGAACGCGTAACGAGGCCTAGCATCTGATCAAGAAAGGATCCGTCCCACTAATCTTAATTGTGATTGATAATGTCACCAAATTTGGCATTTATTATGTAAACAAAACATCGCATGTAAATTGTATTTACGTCCGTATTTAATTAATTGTTCCTTAATCATCATTAAACCAAATAAGGTTTCCATTGAAAGAGGATTCCCCCCTTAAACAAGGAACCTTAATTAATTAATTTACCTCACATAACTTATCATGCATGTATCAAATTAGGCCTAGATAAGAACTGATAACGTACACAATTGAAAGGCCGTACAGGTTTGATAAGATTTTTTTTTGTGCTGACTTGTGGCTTTGTTTTTGTTGTTGTTTTTTTTTCCCTTTGGCGAAAGATGGATTAATGATTCCCTTGTAACTTTGAGGGTACGTAAGAATTGTTTGAAAAATAGCAAAAAAAAAAAATAATAAAGAGGTTTGAAATTCACAATGTGACACCATGCGATGATACGGGTAGACGAACACAATGTTTATATTTACCACCTCACTTAATGGTTTTTGTGAAACAACAAGGAGAAAGAAATCGTTATTGTTTAACGAATTTACGCTAATTCAAATTCCAATTTTCCGGGAAGCTTCCAATTGTAAGACGCTCACACATGAGAGTTATAGATGTAACGCGCCACTAGGAGGATTTCTAGTGGGTTTTCTTTGTTCTCTTGTTGTTGACTTTTGTTGACTTTGTTTGGTCTTTTTACCAAAAAAAGGATATAACTACAGAGAAATAAAATATAAAATACAACGCAACGAATCACGCGCCACTAACGAAATTCCTGTTCCCCTTGCTGGGCAATACTTACTGTAGCTTTGTTACAGAATCCTGAGTTGGGATGAACTTTAGGCGAGTGATATTAACGAGAGCGCACTCATCGTGAAACGCGTATGCAACGACAACAGGTGATAAGAACATTTATTTACTTTTTTACTCTTTATTTATCTATTTATTTATTATATTATTTTTTTAAAGTATATGCTTTAACAATATTCTTTTTTTTCTGTATTTTAACAAAAAAAAATAAAAGGAAATTCTTAAATTCATAACGCGCCACCCATCAACCCTTGTGTTCCCTCGGCATTAAGTACAAGGGGGTGGGGAACTAAAATTCGGAATGACTTAAGCAGATTAACGCCGATTGTATGTAAAATGATGTAACTTTATTTAAAACTGGATCCGAATCTTGAAATGAAAAACATATGATTTATTTGTGACATTTAAATTGACATTTATAACCAAAACTCATGCATCACACCGATTACACCTAATAAAAAACCACGCGCCACTAGGTAATTTTGTACCTGAAATCTTTTATTAAAAAAAAAAATTCTTGTTTCCTTTCCTTGGAAACTTGCAATAATGTGTGGGAATTAACAATAAAGGATGCAATCCGGACTTTACCTATGCAATGTCAAATTAATCCGATTCATCAATTGGTGGTAAAGAGATGTGATCACATTATGCATATAGAATGAAAAATTATCAGATTTTTTTTTTTTTTTTCTTTCATTTTTTTTTTGTTTTATTTTTATTTATCGTTGAACGCGAATTAAACTTTATTGGGACCTTGGGGGCTTTGCATGATTTTTTTTTTCTTTTTTTTTAAAAAAAAAAAAAAATGCCCACGTTACAATAACGTTAAATACGCCATTCTTCCAGAGTGACTAAAAAGGAAATGCATTGAAAAGGGAAGCAAAAAAAAAAAAAAAAATAAATGATAACAGCCGACATCATGAAATCGAAAGTTGATGGAAAAAAAAAAAAATTTTATACCATTGTAGTTCATGTAGTTCATTCGAATCTAAAAAGGTTTTACGCCGTCTTGTGTTCAAGCAGCCTCTATGGGTTATGACTATTTTATTTTTTTTTAATTATTATTCTCATCATTATTTCCAACCTCCTATTCTTCCTTTTTCTTTATTTCCTAAAAATTATGTAAAACTTTCGAACAAAAAAAAAAAAAGGCAAAAAAAAGTCATCGGGTTAAATCGGTTGTTTCCCCTGAGAACGATTCTAACAATGCCGGGTGCTGCGGCGGACTTACTCCCTTAGCTTATATACCACTTTTAGCCAAAAGAAATATTTATATTTTTTATTTATATTTATATTTAAGCTCATTACGTTATATGCAAGATTGTCACCATTTATAAGAAAATAACAATGATATACCTTGTATATCAAACAAAAACACGCCATCGCGCCACAAAATTTACTATTTATATGAAAATTAAAATACAGAGAGTTCTTTTTTATCCGCCTATGCTCCAAATTGGGAAGGAAAAAAAAGCCGGGGGGTTGTTTTGCTGCGCGGCGCTCCATTTGACATTGACATTTGGATTCATACATATATACTTATTAAGCTTTTGACAATTTTAAATGAGATTGTGGCGAGAAATAGATTTTCCGATCTTCAACAAACTATAAAAAAAAAAAATATTTTTTATCACAATAGAGAAATAAAAGACCCAACCACTCGCATTTTGCCGATTATACAGGGATGTCCAATTTCGATTGTTTTTTTTTTTTTTTTTGAAAGTCCAGTTTAAAAAAAAAAATTCTAATATTACATAACGAACTTATCTTTATACAGATATAGTGAGGGGTTATTTATTATCCATGAGCATGACGGTATCATTATGGATATGATCTTCGATGCTTATTTTGAATGACAAGTGATTGGAAAAAAAAAAAGGCGGTAATAAATAAGTATTCATGCTAGACCATATGTCGCTAGCTTACGAAAAAAAAATATTATGCTCGGCGAATATGAGAGAAGAGAAACAAAGGACAATTGGATTTCGATTCTTTTGCTCGGATGATTGAGTAGCACAGTTGGCGGGGTTGAAATGTAAATAAAGCGGAAACAGACAATAGTCGATTACCTAATAATATTGACAAATTTTTTTTATTTTTTTTTTTTCCACGCGCAAATTCAAACATATTTTCTCACAAAACCAAGTCAATCATGTGCAAATAACCGAAATTTTTTTTTTTTTTTTTTGATTATTCAGAACAATATAAATGTTCAACAATGGGTAATTATTTAAACACATTTATTTGACCAAACGGTTGATCATGAAATAACTAGTCCCAAATATGCTTACTCATAATAAAAATAGATTATAAATGAAGAATAATACAATGTAACTGTTGAGAACAAAAATTTTCCATTGACCGAATGACTCTAAGCCACGCGAAGTTATTCAGATTTCCAATTAAGGGATCGCTCTCAACTTCCCCGCATTATTCCCTTGCCAAATAATAATGTTTACTCCATACAGGATGGTTGATGATACGATGGTATATTTTTAGAACCCTTGAACGAAAAGAGATCACAATGTTTTACCATTATAAGAAGTATAGAGGCATCCTAGTTCCTTTTATGTAAATAAATCACTTTTTTTCTTTTTTTCGATTCCTTTCCCCTTCAAAAATATTTCTGTGATTGGTGTAACGGGAATCTTGACGATCAAAATAATGACATCACCATTATTTGTCGCAGGTGATTAAATGATTTCAAATCATCAACGTTCCAATGACTTTTTAAATGGGTGGGTTATCGAACTTTGTTGAATTACCAAAAAACTCCCATTGATAAATGTCGTGTGTCGTACAGAACAAAAATGTGCTATTCCTTTCTATAAAATAAAATAATCATTTGATTATCATTCGCAAATAAAATGATTTACATGTGACTCAATCACCACCTACGTAATTTGATTCGCGAAAGGCATGAAAAAAAAATTTATTCAAAAATAAATCTTTTGAAACGCAAAAAAAAAGAACCTTCGATTATTTTTTCAGGAAGTGATTACTTAACTCATGATAAACATCGGATTTCATTACGAATTCTCCCCCCTAAACGTTCGAAATTGAAATTCAGGTACTGTAGGGTCGTATCTGAAATTTCTGAAATTCTAAATTTAGGTTTCCTTCAATCTCATTGTTTAAATCCGATGAGAATTTTCACAAGTCACTAAAAATTCCGGAACTCTAAAAAGGGAAATCTCATTTTAAAACAATTCGAAAATCTCAATTATTGTGGTGCGTCATTCTTCTGCCCAAGCAGAAAAGCACAATAGTTCATTGAAGAGGGATAAAAATATACTTTGTTGACCTTTCACATTCAAACTCATGCAAAAAAGAACGATTTAGTTGATCTTAAAAAAAAGGATGTAAAAGAAGCAGTTTTTCAACTTAAAGCTTACTCGTGTATATCTTTTGCTTTAACAATCATCAAAACGTTATATTTATTATGTCACGATTGATATTAATTTACTTTAGAGGCAAGGATAGTAAATTTTGGGAGAACCTGATTTCGGAGAAAATCCTTAATGAGGAATGAAGAGTATATGAAACATTCATCATTCAATTGAAAAGTGATATGTGATTTAATAAATGAATTGCTTCATTTGATGCAAAGAGATCGGTAAAAAATAAAAAATTTACCCCCCCTTGAATTCATTAATTCCAATCCCCGTAATCGTTTTAAGGAGATGTAGCTTTAAGGGAGATGACAATTGACGCATCAAATGGCTCAGTTCATACGCTAATTTGGTTAAAATTCGGCCGAATTCGGCATTCATTCGTATTTTATTGACTTTTCGGCACTGGTGAAGCGAAACACGTAATATGTCAACGCTTTAGATGATGGGATAATAATTTGTCGCTTGTATCACGTGATATGACGAGCCTGTGACTGTGACATCCTCATGATTAAAATATTTCTAAAAATCATAAAAATTCTAATCTTAAACATCAAACACCTATTACAGTTAGGTAATGTGGTTTAGAGTTTTCTAATTTTTTTTCGCGCGCCACGGAACTTTCATTTTTTAAAAACGTGTATCATAAACAATTCATATTGGTAACAAACAATCGAATCACATGCATTAAATGATGATTATTATTATCATCATCAAGTTACAATATTTATTCGAAAAATTCGTCGAAAAACAGAACAATTGGTCCATCTA